CGATATGTTTCTCACATTCAATTTTAGCTGCCCGGACTACCAGTTTACATCTTTTATTACATTCTTTGTAGTTTTGGAATGCCAATACTGTCCCCTCCGTTTTCTACTTAGTAAATGCCACTTTTTTTGTTTAATGTGAGGTTTTACTGTTTTATTTAGCCATATTGGTTTCGTTTTTGATCTTTTATATTTGTTACCGGTATACACCTGGTTATAGCATTATTTAATTTTTTCTTGAAACAGTCCCACTTTTGGTCAACATTTAGTTTATGAAATAAGTTCTCCCATTTGATTTCACCCACTATATTGCGTAGTTTATCAAAGTTGGCTTTCCTGAAGTTTAGGCTTCTCGTCCGACCATCCCCCTTCCCTTTCTTGCACCCAATATTAAAAGCAATCACCTTGTGATCACTATTACCCAGTGTCTCCCCGACTACAATATCCTCAATTAATTCTGTATTATTGCTGATGATCAGATCTAGGACTGCATTTTTCCTAGTTGGGGACCTCAACCAATTGACCCATGAAATTGTCTCGCAACATATTAAGGAAACGGGCCGCCTTTGTCGTTTGCGAAGTTCCATTAGCCCAGTTGATACTTGGGTAATTGAAGTCGCCCATTACCACAACATTTCCCTGTTTCCCAGCTACTTCACCCACAATAAGTTTACGGCTAAGGTCCGTTCTATCTAGTTCTAGCCATAACGATTCCACATCATCTCCACCATCTGACGTGATATCATCACGGATGTGCATAGTGAGGTTATTTTTAACATATACACATACCCCCCCTCCCCCCCGTGTGGGTGCTTTTAAAATGAGAGAGATAACTTGCTTCCCCCTCCTAGATGACTTGGTAAAGCAATCATCTAAGATGTTCACAGTGGTTCATAGGTAGAAAAAAAAACATTCCAATTCATGCAGAATTCTTTTTTTTTACATCAGCTTTTACTTCCTTGTAAAACTGTAGTGTTCATTAAACTGAAGTAAATATTACTGACCATATGCTGTGGATTATAAGTGAAACAAAACAATAGCATTCTTCAGATCTTTATTAATAGGCCATAGTCTTTATTCTTCTGTAGCTCAGACTTGATTGAAATCGATGTACAGTATCTGTAAAAAAGAATGTCCTGTAAGAAATACATTTTTAATGTATTTTGTTTTATTTCAGACATGGGTTTATGGCAGCTATGTTATTTTTTTTGCTGATACTTATATAGTAACATAGTATGTAAGGTTGAATCAAGACCAATGTCCATCCAGTTCAACCTATGTATGTGAGTGTGTGTGTATTTATCTGGCCTTACAACCCCTGTAGATTCTGGGAGCGAAAAAACTCATCCAAGTAGTTTCTTGAATTCATCAATGTTATCAGCAGATACCACCGCCTGTGGGAGGGAATTCCAAACTTTCACCACTTTGACAGTGAGATATCCCTTGCAAATTTCTACGATTGAACCCCTTCTCTTCTCTTCTAACTGAATACAGTTTTAGGATTAAACAGTTTGTTCCTAATATTGTGGTCCCAATTGATGATTTTGAAGACTGCAATAAGGTCCCCTCTTAATCACTTTTATAAGGTAAATAAGTTAAGATTTTGAATGCAGTCTTTTATAATTCAGGCCTTCAGTCCCTTTAATTCATTCTGTAGCCCTTCTCTGAACTCTCTCCAGTTCCAGGACGTCCCTCCTGAAAGTCGGCGACCAGAACTGTATCGAATACTCAAGATGGTGCCGAACCAATGATTTATAAAGTGGAAGTATTACTCTGGATCCCTTGCTACAATTCCTCTTCCTCTTTTAATACACGCCAGTATCTTGTTAGTTTTGCTGGCTGCTGCTTGTCATTGCTTACGATTGTCAAATCTATGAGGACCCACAGGTCTTTTTCTATTTCTGACTTCCCTAATGTAGCACCCCCTAGGTAGTAGTTTGTGCACCTGTTCTTTACTCCCATGTGAATAACCTTACATTTTTCAACATTAAATCACATTTGCCATCTTGTAGCCCATGCCTCGATTTTGCTTAGGTCCTGTTGTAGTGCGAATATCTCCTGTTCAGAGTTTACTGCTCTGCATAGTTTAGTATCATCTGCAAAAAAACGAAATTGAGCTATTTAGTCCAATCTCTATGCCATGGCTGAATAAGATGAACAGGATCGGTCCCAGGACTGAACCCTGGGCCACCCCACTCCTAACCCTTGCCCAATTAGTGAATGCCCAATTTATCACTGCCCTCTGGGTCCGTTCTTGCAGCCAATTTTCCACCCATGTACATACAATTTTATCAAGACCTATAGACTTTAGTTTATGGATTAAAAGTTTTTGGGGTACTGTGTCGAATGCTTTAGCAAAGTCCAGCTACACCACGTCTACTGGTATTCCTCTGTCTAATTTAGTACTGACTTCCTCATAAAATGTTAATGGATTGGTCTTACAAGAACGGTCCTTCATGAAACCATGTTGGTTTCCACTTACGATACCAGTTTTATTTGCAAATTCCTGCAAGTAGTCCCTTTTCATGCCTTAAAATATTTTACACACTATTGATGTTAAGCTAACAGGCCTGTAGTTACCTGGTTCACTTGTTTTCCCCATTTGGAATATTGATACATTTGCTCTCCTCCAATCAGCCTGCACCATACCTGTCATTATACTGTCTTTATTAATTTTGCACAAGGATCTGGCTATGACTTGACTAAGTTCCTTTAGTACCCTTGGATGTAACCCATCTGGTCCTGGTGAATTGTTTATATTTAATCTTTTTCATCTCTATATTACTCTGCTCTCTTTTAGCCACAGAGATGTGTTAAAACTGGTACGTCCGTCTCATCTTGGTATCAATTAAGGAATAACAATGTTTTTTTCACTACATTAAACATTTTATTCTAATAAATACAATGTTGTAATAAATTGATTTTTAGTACAACAACATTACTGTGTTATGCCTTGCAAACATATTTTAACTGTAGTGGAGAAGCGGAAGTATTATATTGTATATAAATTGGCATTGATACAAGTACTTTGTTCCATTTTTCTCCATCTGCTGTCACTGCTGCTGGAGGAAAGATGCATTTTTTTTGTTATTGTTTTATTATATTTTGCTCTTAAGGGGGAACATCTGGGATACAGCACATTTGATCAAACAAAAAATAGATGAAATAAATATAAAAAATTACATAAACTTGCAAAATTTCTAGTATATGGTTATAGGTTTACAGCCTTGTTAACCAATTGCATTCGGCTATGGGAATACTGAGGTTTCCTTTTTCCATTGTAATGTTGACTATACACTGGCAGATCTTTCTTTTACTCCAGTGCAGTGTGATGTCTTAGCCATTATCAAGCTTGCAGAGTATCCATTAGTTATTCTGTTGTCATGAATGATTTTTCTTCCAAATATTTTTTTTAATTGGTCACATGCTTTAACAAAACTCTTTTAGCTTCTTGGTTGGTTGTTTGTGTCTGACAGTGCTAATTATTTTTGCTTCAGTTGACCTGCAAATAAAACATTGTGTATGACCGACATTCATGGAGCCTAAGTCCTTAAAGAGACCCAGCATTGGTTACATTTACAAGATTCTAATGTCATATTCAACGTCATCCCTTCAACTTTTCTTTGACATTTCTAGTCCTCTCTTTTCTTCTTTTTCTTGTTAAATGGCTTCCAACACCAAAAATATAAATTTGTAGATCAAATATTTGCTATAGTCATGATTAAATTAACTAAGCAGTCTGATCGAATATGGCTGAATATAAATTTATTATATTGCACATTTGGGTCGTCATGTATTGGACTAAAAGAACAGAACTTACTAACAAATACACTTAGTGAACATTTAAAAGGAGCTGGTTTAGATTTGTTTTTCTTTCTATAGATTTGAAACTGTGAACCTACAGTTACTTTAAGCCATGCTCCCCTTTCACATATGTGACAAGCATATGTAAATAATATGTCAAAGCAGCCTGTATTAAAGCAAAGTCATATAACTTTATTTGCCTTTTATTTCAAAGCCCTTCCCATAAAATAGGGAAGTTAAATGCGGTTTGTAAGTATGGAAATACCTCTTAACTAGTGTAATAGTGTGCATGTGGCAAGTTCCAGATACACCGAAAATTCTCTGTCATTTTAGTTCTACAACAATGGCTCAGAATTAAGATGGAAATGTAATAAACTTACTATTTTCCCTATGGCACACTAACAATTCTATTAGTGGTGATTATTCACCACAGAATCACTACAACTGCTCCCCTTCTCCAATGTATCTCTCTGTCGTTGCCTAAATCAGTGAGGTGTTACTCTGGGGCTACTCCTGTGGTAGTGATGTTTTGTGGTATTTAAGCCAGTGAGGGCATGATTTCTATTCGAATATAGGATAATCGCATAGTGATTTTAAGCACAATGCCGTACATAACTTATTTGTATTTATTTTTCACTCCTACTTTTGAACAGTATTAATAGTCACTTTACGTAAATATCTTTTGAAATGTTTTTGTAATGGTCCTTTAATGTGAGTCCCTTTTATTCCTTGGTGATTACATTCGAAATGTAATTTTTGCATTAGTTAATGTGTTTGTATCCCATGTTGGCTTTACAAAAAAAAGATTCAACTCTGTTTATCTACGTACACCATAAAGGTCTAACATTTTGGTACCTGATATGTTTGCTTCTGGCTCTGTACATTTCTTTAAATGAATATTCTACATTCTACACACTGCTTCAGATATCTTGCTTATTTGAGACTCGACCTGTTCTATGAGCCTATGTCAGTTGTCATGTTCCGATGACATGCTCTAGGTCCTACTTTCTCTTGCATTCATTGTAATTGTGATTATAGACAGCCATACTTTTAGTGTCCATGTGGCATAGCTTTTGGTGAATACAGTGCTGCCATTGAGGAAACAATATTTTTGACACATATGCGTGAAATCATTACATCTATACTTTTTGCTTTGTAGTTCTCGATCTATCTGTGTGTATTTTTTGCTTCCCTACTAGTCAAGAGAACAGTCTGATGAAGAATCTGAGGAGTCAGTGAAGTTCAAGAGGCTGCACAAGCTAGTGAACTCTACTCGAAGAGTCAAGAAGAAGCTGATCAGAGCAGAAGAAATGAAGAAACCCAATACAGAAGGTGAATATGGGTCTCTAAAATCAATAAACCATAACTGATGCTGTTTAAATAATGAATTAAAACCAATCACAAAGAACATGTTGAATGCTTATAAAATAGTTAGTCCTATTTGAGAGTTTTTCAAAGTGTCAGTATCTTCATCAATATTGTTGGTACAAATCTCTATACTAAACCCACTTTGTTTAAGGTAATCTTGTTTACTGGGTACAGCATTTGTCCCAGCATCTATATGACAGTCCTAAATTTGAAAGTGGCCATAAGTCTAGGCCAGAGATATCCTGAGCACACTGACATATTAGGACAACAAAGAAACCACAAGATCAGTTTCTGTTTTACATTTAGCCCTTTATGTAACATCAAGATAAGATTGAGGTTCAGAGAGCACTGTGAGGTTACCCTTCAATTTATATCACTTTTGTGAGGTCAGATTGTAACACACCAACTGCTGGTTACACGATACACCATGCTCCTTGGATTATAAAATTAGGGTAATAATTGTTTACCTTGTAAGCTCATCTCGCTAATATGTCAGTTTTCAGTGGGTCCCAGGGAACTGTCCTCTGGGAATGCACTAATGAGCTATCCCAACTAATCTACTGCCTGTTCCTCCCATTCCCACCCTCACCTCTTGCAATTTAAGGTTAATAGGTCAAATCCACTGGCAGTAGATCCCCTCACAGATGGGTGGAAAAGGCACTTGTGGGCAAAGATGTCACCTATGCAGATCAGAAGGTGATCAGTCCTGTACCAGTTTGTACTGATAGCATATAGAACAGTACACATTTCTGTAATTTTAAACCTTTCTCGATGGTCTTAAAATGTATATTTTCCCCATAGGTCTGGAAGATGCAGTTCACAGCACTCCTATTGCGGATGATAAATCTGCACTTTATTCAGGAGTTCATAAGAAACCGCAATGTAGAGATAATTCGTTGGAGAAAACACCACCAGAAGATAGCTCATTTTCCATCTCCCCATCATCTGGAAACCTTGAGACAATGAGTGTTAACAGAAAACTTGTAAAGTCTTTGAGCAAAACTGATAGCAGGGGTCTCATCAAGCCCCCAAAGAAGATTGGAACATTTTTTTCTTATCCAGAAGATGAAATGTCGCAAAAAGCCTCTCGCTCCTTAACAGAACGAGAATTAAAGAAAAGCCTAGGCTCTTTAAGCCATGGGGTAAGTACTGAAAGTGTTTGCTTTTATGACAGAAACAGGAACAAGCATCATCTTTTGGTGTCTTTGGAAGAGGTACAAAATATCAGAAAACAGATACGGATGAAGAAACATGACTCTAATTACTCATGTGCTAGAGCTTTTCTCTGTCAGCGCCCCGCCAGGAAAGGAATGCCCTCCCCTGCCTGTGACCAACAAACCTTCCGCCAGAGGTGTAGAAGTGGCAACAGCGTCTTTCCTAACAGAAGGCCACGAGGTCGAACAGTCAGTGAATTTAACATAACCTATGTGGTGGAGAGGAGTTTATACAGCCATTTGAACCTAACCCACCTTGTGCGCCCTGTAAGTGACAGGACTCTTAGCAAGGCTGAGAAGAGATGTCTCTTAGAAGAGGAAGAGGAGGCTGAAAGAAAGTGGGCTGCCACTGTCGACCGCTGTACTAAAAGGGTTCTCTTGAGAATCCACCAAAAGTCTGTGAGTCGAAAGGGTTGATGTTGATCCTCCATCTCCCGCAAAGCTGCATTCAGCAATGATTTTGCATAGCCTCACCCACTTCTGACCTTCACTTTAGATGTGCTCATTTTTCCCACATCTTGTAGATGCCAAACAATCTTACATGGAATATGTCATACTACACAGTTTAATGAACTGTGGATAGTTTTTTAAAGTGCAAATAATGTCCTCCGCAAATGCACTGGCATGGATATGTTACTGGCTTACAAATTAGAAAAAGTACTTTTTTTATTATTGCACTGTCTTTGTGGAATAACATTTTCTAGGCTGGCTGTACTGGCTATAATGCTATATAAATTCATGTCTTCCCTAGTTAAGCAATAAATAGCCTTGGTAAACAGTATCATTATCCAGAGTACTTGTGGAAAATGCCTTAAGGGAGTGAGCATTTATTTCTGTTGTATGCTAGAGACCCTTATATTCCAAAGAAGGGTTTTATTTTATTGCTTAGCAATAACTTGTAGCAGCACCATGTTAATGACTATGTCATTTAACCTCTTTTTGCTTCACACATAGAAGTGGTCATAACATAGTGGATGAGCAGTAAAGTAGCGTTTGCTCATTCTTTTCAATAAACTCATTTTTTCTGTATTACACAACCCATCTCTTAAACACAAGCAAGAAACCACATTAACTGGAATTACATTAATTGCTGACTGCAACTTCTGGGAGATACTAGAAGTTCATATTTTGTGGAAGTGGTCATTCCATATGCCATTTTATTTTCAGACAACAAAGCATGCTAATGGTTTTAATCATGCCATGTATTTATTGTGTTAAAAAAGGTTTTTGTATTTGATTGCATGAACTTTCCATCACTAAACAGATAATGTGTCTACTGTTAACTACTTATAGCAAGATGGACAGCAAGTCAATCCCTACATATCACTACTTCTGAAGTAGGACCCTCATATTTGTTTGTGTAAAAGGAAATGTAGATCAGGTTAACTAGAGTGTGCCTCTTGATCGTCTTTTCTTATCAGTGGGGGTAAAATACAGCTTTCTCATAGGCTGCATTCACATATAGTGCAACACCGTGCGGGTGGAAACATCGTGGAACACCGTGCGGGAAGAAAACGCTTATATTTTTAAATCTGCACGGATGCCACTCATTTGGGGCTATTAAATTGCTGTGGATGTGTGGAATCTGCCAGATTATCGTGCTTGTACTATTTTGGGAGCCGCCCGGTTTCATACCTTGCGGCCCCCCGCAATGGTCTAATCGATGCAGATTGAAGTGCATTGTATTTTCTGTTTAGAGCGGCTCTGTGGGTATTCGTACAGCCGAATATACGCGGATGCTGCTCGGGTGTGAATGGAGCCTAAAGCTCCACATAGATTGTGGTATTCAATCAGAATAGCCTAGAACTGTAGTCATGTTTTTTTTGTTTTTTTTTAGAATGGGTGTTTGTATTCTGAATATTAACCCCTTCATGACTGAGCTAGTTTTCAGGTTCTAAATACTCTCAGTATTATGCTTAAATACAGTAATCCCAAGCCTTAAAGCTGAACTCCAGGCAGATGTGAAAACACCTTTTCATGCAGTTATGTATTTATTTGAATAACATTTTAAATGTATTTTACAGGCAATTTATGTAAGAATCTGAATCTGTTTTGATATCAGAGTCTTGTAATCCCTGTATACAGCACAATTTAAAGTGACACTAAACTCGGAAGTTAAATCTTAAAAGTGCATTCAAGTATCTTTACTATTAGCAAACATGTATCTTATTTGTGTATCACTCAGCTGTAGATCCTCAAATCATCTCTGACACTGTCCTTCCGTTTATTCAGCATGATCCCGTGTGTGTTGTAGAGCAGCCACCATTCCAATCCCACTCCCATGCTGGACTACAATCTCATGTTTAGTTTACCAATTTGTATTGAGATTGTAGTCCATCACAGGAGCGAGCATGGAGTGGTGGCTAAGACATTAGTCATCTAGCAAAGGCGTTTTCTAACAAAGCATAACATTTCTTTTAGTAGTCCTTTGATAGTCCGCTATTTGTTTTTTTAAGTATTTTTATGCACATCAACTGTTTTTGTGTTGATAAATATAGTTTAATACATATACAACATAATCTAGAATCATTTTGTTGTAAGTTTTATTACTTTAGCTCTGTGTTATGTTGAATTAAAACCTCACATACTCAGCCAAGTTACTCCCCCTTTGTTGTATAGTGGCACAAATCTGTGTATCTCCCTAGTGTGGTTACAGTCCTTTGTTTTAAAAACCTGGCTTTTTCTGCTTCCTCCAGCTGCCTAGTATGTTTACTCTTCACAGATATCTCTCTCGTGTTACAAGGAAGCATAAACTGCCTTGTTTCTCCCTGATCACTTGAACAAAAGGCCAGCTGAACTATCCATTTCTTCTGTCAAAAGACCATTTTAACAAATTAGAACTGTATAATGTGTTGGAAGCTACCAAAGCAGTAGTATCTTTCTGGTACAGACTATGTTATTGGCCTCTCATACTGGCTACTGTGGCATTTGAGTTTTCAAAAATACCAAATGGACCATAGGCATCACTGTTCAGAATAACAACACAATAGTAAATTTTATATAAAAAGTTAAAATAAGAAATACAAAGTAAGCCGAAATCTTGGCATGCCTTGCCTGGTGTGCCCTCTTAGTTCAGTTTTATACCACTTTTTTAAAATAACAACAAAGCAGTCCATTTTGAACCAACTCGTATAATAACAATGAACTAAGATGAGAATCTCCTGGAATTGTTTTACCCCTTTAAACTTTGCTTACTGCCATAGGCTACATTTAGGCAGAAAGCCTTAGAGCAATCACTAAGGAAAATATTTGAATCAAAACTTTTAGAAAACATGTTTTATCGCTGTTAATTGGTTTCTATAGAAGCCAAAGTAAACAATGTTTGTTATAGGGAAATGTGTTCAGAGGACAGCAGTCAAACCTACAAGATGTAGCTGGGCTTAGACATATTCCTCATTTATTACTATTAGTCTTTATGTGGGCTATGATTTAGATGGGACAATTGAAAAATGAGTGTCAGGATGTGAAATCCTTACATATCTTTTATATTACGTCTAGAACAAGCTTTGCCATTTTTTTTAACGGGGTGGGACCTCTGAATATGGTATGTTGAGAACAAACATTTTGTGTTTTTGGTGTAGTCATCTGAAGAATGGTTTTGTACATACATGGAGAATCATTTCATCAAGTTTTCTAAAACTAAATGCATGTTTCTTTTCACACTGAATTTCAAAATTCTGATTTACTATATATCACATGCTTTATGGATCTCTGATGTCTGATAAGGCTCTACAAGATTTTGTGGGCAGCAAAACTTATGACATGAATTAGAACTTATTTGTAATAACTAAACATATCTCTTTTGGTTTAACAACCATTTTAATTCCCAGATTGTGTTTTTTTTTTAGATGGCTGTCAGGCAGCCTGTTCACAGTGCTGCAAAAACACTGCAGTACCTCTGTGAATTAGCTGCATAATGAAAGGTATTTTTCCAAGTACTCCTTTCCTTGTTAAAAATGAAAAATTTAACAGACACGCATGATAAGCATATCATGTAGTAAATGTAAACTATTTCCTTTACATTTCTCCAGGACTACTTCTTGTGTACATATTAAAAGCGGCAAGCCCCTACTGCAGCATGCTAGTCTCCCTGCCTTAGCAACTTCTTATTTTATGTAGAATATGATCCCGGCATTATAACACATTTATAGTGCTTCTAATGCTTGTTATCGCTTGTTCATAATCCATGTATAACTCCTCATACTTAATATTCTGCAGAAATAGGGGTATTTTAATTTGATTTCACAACAAACAAATCTCTAGTTGCCCTTTTTACTTCAACAAACAAAAATGCACATATTGCCAATGAGTTGAAAATGGGATCATTTCTTCTTTTTTTCATTTGTTTAGTTTGTCACAGATTACTGGACCTATGTAAAATGTACCTATAGCTACTATAAATTGGCCAAAAAAAACCCCACACTATAAGTCTGCCCCATGATATAAAAAAGAAACTAATAAAGTCTGTATCCGTTTAGTGTTATCAGTGATTTATGGCTCCAAAATGATTGCTCTCACTCTGACGTTTGCGGCGATATGTAACATGTGCGGCACAATAGGCGCAATCGTCGTTTTCGCATGTAGGCGCACCCGAATATCTGTGTGTGTATGTGGGGGACGGGGACTTAAAAAAAATGTTTTTTCTTTTTAAATTTTTTTATGCTTCTTTATTTTTTTATGAATCTTTAATTTTTTTATTACTTTTTTTTTTTTTACACAATATATATATATCTTGTGTTTTGGTGGAATGAGACGCAGTACTTTTTTTTTACCTTTTTTGCATATTTGTTTAAGTAGCTAGACCTATTTATTAGCCATATAGACAAATGAGGAGAGAGATAGACAGGGCTTTCTGTAATGAATAGTAAGCCATGTGGTTGCCATACGTTAGTTTATCATGCAGGGTACTGTGATGACTGAAACAGCTCTGTAGGCTTTGATGAAGGATAAAAATAATTCAGTCTTACAACTACACTGTATGGTATGAAAAGCCACTTTCATTCCCTCAAACCAAAATGAAATGTGGAGGAAGCATATTAATTATTAGTTTAAAGAGAGTACTACCCAAAGACCATTTCATGGTAAGCATGAATCATTGTGGTGAAGCATCCAATTTTGTATTATTTTGATTTTTCCATTTTGTGTGTTTGCATATGTTCTCATAATGACTTGAAGTTAATTTTATATTTTAATTCTATTTTTCTGGGGGTTTTTTTATTTCCTATCTTTCATTCCTTTTCTCTCTTTATCTTTCGTTCCTTCCTGCTATGTTCATTCCACAGAGAACCTGCAGCTTTGGTGGATTTGACCTTGGCAATCGTTCATTGCATGTTGGAAATAATGAAGATTTATTGGTGAGCTTCTCAGGTTCCTCTGATTTTAGTAATTGCTGTATGTTTTTAGTTTTAGCTTAAATGCACTGTAAATGACTAGAAACAAATACAGGAGATTACAACAGCATAACAACGAAATCAAGTGGAGAGATGCTACCATACAATGTTATTAAGTTGTACAGCAGATAAGGCAAAATAATGTACAATTTTTGGTGTCAGAGCAGTATCTCAAAGTTTTCTTAGTCTCTGTCCTTTTACTACCTCTTAAACACACTCTAATGCTTCAAGCGTTCCTTACCTGAAAGCTAACATTTAATATAACGATTGAAAAAAATGCTCTCTAAACCATTTTAAATATCAAGTAACCTGACACAAACCCTAAAAGTAAATGTGGGGCCGGGATAAGCAAATTTAAGTATTTAAGCAGTAAATGAATTTAAATACAAGCTGTCCCTGAACTCTGAAGCTGTAGGCACTGTGGAGCTATTCTTCCTTTAAAGTTCACATCAGAATCACTGAAGTTGGTCACGTTGCTCCCCTGTCCAATGCACATGCTCCTTATTTACATTAGAGACTAGAAGGCTACCGAGGCACTGCTGGAGCACAGTGAGCTGAGCTACTTAAAAAATTACCTTTGTGCGGTGAAAAGATGGAATGACATACTCCACAATGCCTACAGCTACAGTAGTCAGTGATGGATTGGTTTAAAGCTAATTTTCTGCTCGTTAAGAATATGTAAATACTTGAATGTCCTTAGCCTGGACCCAGATTCACTTTAAAGTGGAACTCTAGGCAGATAAAAAAAATAACCATTTATTTAAATTATTGGTTTCTTAACGTATAATTAAATGTATCTTTACAGCTGATAAAAGTAGTGAAGTCTTAAAGTCACACAGTCAGAATTCTAATTCCCTGTACAGCAGCTCCCTGGCTGTAAGAGGGAGGGGCAAGAATGTTTGCCAGTAACGCTCAGTTGCAATGCAATTATATTCAGTCTGGGAGGGGAGAGCAAAGTGCGGGCCTCATCAGTTTGCTGCTGCTACTTCATTGCCCACTTACACACTGGGGAGGGCACCTAAATCAGGCTGTGCTTAGCTGCAGTATAGTCTCCTGGGAGAACATAGGGGGTACATCGACTGGCTGATATCTGACAGGGGTCTCTGGATCACAAGAAATGTGCATTGCACATGAAATTTTATATGTACGTTGCAGCAGCCATCTTTCCACATTACAGCTTTTGTCTTGAACAATAATTGTGCCTTTGTTCACTGCAAGTCTAAACAGCTCTCACCAAAAGAGGACCATTGAAAGTGACTATGTCACCAAGCAAAGCCGTTTTCGCCAAACTTAAGTGAAATCTGGAATAAAGAACTTTCTCTAGGTAGTGAAAATTTTAATATCCAAACAAGCCTGTAAGAAGACTATCAGAATTAATTTTAGTGTATAGTACAATAATCCATAGTGAAAACCTACAGAGAATACATGCTTGCTTTCCTCTAAGCAACCCTAGATTGTTGTCTTTATAGTCCTAATTTAATAAGAATGTTGGTCTAGATTACTTTATTTAAAACACAGCATTAGAAAAAAAAAATATTTTGTGTTTGGAATGATCGGTCCCATATTGTATAGTGAAGCATCTGGAAATATGTTTATTGAAATCAATTGTTCTATCTTAATTTGCTACAAATTAAACAAAGAGGCTTAACCCACCACCCACACTTTTAAGAAATCACATTTGACCTGATTTACTCTTGCAGGAGAAAGATGGGCAAGTTAAATACAAGGAAGTCATTAAATCTCCCAGCACACCAAGGATATCACTTGGTAAAAAAGTGAAGTCTGTCAAGGAAACAATGAGGAAGAGGATGTCCAAGAAATACACAAGTTCTGTGTCAGAGCAGGTCAGTAGGAAATTTACATTCCTTTACTGCAAATTGTTTATTGAAATTAAGCTGCTATAAAAACAGAAACAAGCCTTTGAATTCTGGAGTCCAGCTGTGTTTTAAGGCCACACTCCCACATAGAAAAACTGCAGCAGCTACCAAACATATGGCTGCTGTTGTGTATACGTGTTCCCAGACTGCCACACATTGCCTATGTTACAGTCAATATCACTTAATGAGTTAACAGTTAACTAAGCATTCTTAGCACTATGGTGTGTTATTGTCAATAGATTACTAGAACATGTCAGTTGTTTAGCGTTTATGCAAGTTGTCTGTGACATATGGTTACATTCAATCATGTTTGTTAAACACATCATTAAAACATCTGAGTTATGGCTTCGTATACATTTTTGGTTAGGTGTAATTTTTTTTTTTTTTAAAGAAAATGCAGCATAAATAAAATGCATATTAGCCTCGTATGTGATAGCAATAAAGTTTAGTAAAAAAAAAAGTAAAAAAAAATTTAAGTTCCCCCCCAAAAAAGTTTAAAGTAACACATAAAAAAGAATAAAAAAATGTTTTAAGTCCCCACCCATACATACACGCATGCAAACATGCGTCGGGGGCGCATACGTGCAAAAACGACGATTGCACCCATTACGCCGCACATGTTACATATCGCCGCGAACGTCGCAGTGAGAGCAATAAGTCTAGGGCCATCAATCACTGATAACACTAAACTGATGAGCGGTAAAAGCTTTTAAAGTGTCGCCTATGGCCAATTTTGGGTATGGTAGTTTTCTGCGATTTCGCGGGTGCGCGCAATTTTAAAGGTTGACATGTTTGGTGTCTATTTATCCGACGTGACCCTGACTTTTATATTTTACCAAAAAACTGGGTAATAATAAATGTTTCCTAACATAATGTAAAAAAAAACTTTTTTTTTTCAAAATTTTCTTTCATTTTTCCTAATTATAGTAAAAAATAAAAACCCCAGTGGTGATTAAATATCACCAAAATAAAGCTCTATCTGTCCCTAAAAAATGGTATAAAATTCATTTCAGTACAGCGTTGCATGACGGAATAAACTTCAGTCAAAGTACTGCAGCGCTGAATACTGAAAAATGGCCTGGCCAGGAAGGGGGTCTAAACACCTGGTCTTGAAGTGGTTAAAGAAAAAACATTAAAGAATACAGTGCATTTCCAAGTTTTCCACCCAGTGTTGACAATTACAGTTAAGGGAATATTTATAAGAAACGTACTAGAGAAAAGAATAAGGGAGTGACATTGGAATTGCTAGCCATAGTCACAAATCAGGTTTCAAATTTTACATCTGAGAAAATGAACCATTAGCTCTGATTGGTCACTGTGCATAACAACTCTTTTATGTTTCTCTTTTCCCTTGTTTTTTTCCTATAAATAGCATCATTTGATTGAAAATGTACAAAGTCAACCATTTTTCAGTCCTTTGACAAATACTGCCCTCTGGTGTTAACATACCTACAGCACACGTAGTATAGCTTGTTAATAAAGCACTTAGATCTGCTGGATCTAATTACATATCTTAGCAGTAAACAGCGGCAGTTCATTGAAGCAATGTTATTTAGGAAAGTGATATTTTCATGTAACATAGGCTATCAACACAGAGAGGGCGTTCCCCTATTTTTATAATTTCATTGATTGTTGATTTTATTATAGTTGAATATAACACATTAGTTGTCAGGCAGGAGTACTTATGGAATACTTATGACATATTTAGCGGGTGCATTGGTCTGACATATTTAGCGGGTGCATTGGTCAGTCAACAATTTTTACCCCAGTTCCTTTGACAAAATTTGAATGGAGTGGTGTTGGCATTCAAATTCAAGCAGTGTATAGCCAGCTTAAGTTTATTATTACAGGTTATTCTATAAGCCAATACTACTTTGCTGTTTTTGAAAAAATAAATTGTTTAGAAAACCCTGAAATATTAACGATTACTGTGAGTAAGGGACTACCTAAGAGGAGCTAAACCACACAAGGGGGTACTTGATAAAGAGTAGATAAAGGGGGTACTTAATAAAGGGCTTTATAAAATGGCACATAATGTAATAGTGTTATTGAATCTGATTGTGTGCAATATAAAGACACTGAGATTTAAAGGTTCTGTGAGTGAATATTGTAAAGCTGAAATTTCAGATCCTTCGTGTGATTTCCCCATAGCATTGCTAACCATTAATGTTGCTGACTCTGATGCCAACCTATATTATTTAGGGAGTATTATAAACGGTGAGAAAAGAGGAAATGTCTAAGTGTATGTCTTTCACTCATGAGAGGAGACAAACGATCTGCATGCTAGAGAGAGCTGACATAGTGGTTTACTTTACTAATCCATCCAATATGTCATCCTGACACATTTAAATTGAATGCTGCGCTCATGCAGCTGATGGCTGATGTTTGCTTCAATCTGCCTCTTTACCTTCTGTTCCAATAAAACGTTTTTGTTTTTTTTTCTGTGCAAATTGTACATTTGTCTTCTACCACATTTTTATTTATAAACCAAAGACAATGTTAGGTTCTTCAGTTGTAGCAAGGTCGTTTTTATGTAATGGCCATTGTATATGAGGAATTAATATTATCTAGAATATATCAAATGTATATTACACATATTATGTATTCTGAACATTGAAAAAATATTTTTGTATACCAAATGGATTGCAAACTATAATTAAATATTTTAGAGCATGTCATTAAAACCCAGCTCCAGCTAGAACTTTTCTTTTAGGTTTTCTTTCCTTTTAGGTTTGAATAGAGTGAGTAAGGGTTTGAAATCTCTATCAGGTTTTTGCTGCAGCTTGTGACTATGACATTGGGAGTGTTTACCCTTGCTGTGTTTCTCAGTGACAACAGGTTAAATAGGGGACAGGGAGTCACATACAGAAATAAAAACCTACGGTTTAATCTTCCCCAGTGTACTAAAAATGTGGTGCATTTCCTGTCTCTCTACCAGTTGCAAAGACATCCCATTAGTTCTTATCTCCATCATTCCTATCACTGCAACATTTTGGAACTAAACGCAGAGGTGTGAACTAGCCTCACTGAATGGGTATGCGTTTTTAGACAAGACAAAAAACATTCTGGTCTGGATCTGGTCTGGACATGGTGTGAATGGGCCTTCTCTAAGGGCCGATTCACGCCATAAACACTGCATTCTAGAGCGGTCAAGCTCTGGAATGCACTGTATCGCACTCTGGGGTGGGGGTGGTGGTGCTGCATTGAAGTCAATGGCACCGCAGCCATGCCCCCTCCCCCCGCAGTGCGATCACCAGAGCACTCTGGAACGCACTGTTTGTAGTGTGAACCAGCTCTTAGGGCTTGTTCACACCATATCCAGAACAGTTTGTTTTGGACCAAAAAAAAACATCCCAATGTATTTCTGGGCTCTGTTCACACCAGCGCAGTCCGTTCCAGTCAAGAACAAAAAAAAGATTGTTTGTCTCATTTTCTCTGGTCTGAAATGCACTGGAACTCATGGAAACGCTTTAAAAACATATGCAAACACACTGGACTGCAACTGAAAGCCCATTTTGAGGAACACAAAGTGGCAAAAATGCACTTCAGTGGGTTTGCAGATTTGCTCCAGATCTGGTCCAGATATGGTGTTAACAAGCCCTAAAGGCTTAGTTCTCAACTGTTGGCTATTGATCCAAAAGTAGGTCACCACATACCTTCCACTTTTCCAAGTGAGAGTCTCCTCAGCCTTCCCCTAGTGCACCAGTGTCCGTTCTCTCGCCAAACAGGCATTCAAAATATGCTGCCTTGCGCTGAGTGTCAGCTTGAGGTGGGGTGGTCTGGGGGTATGGCCACGAGGGAGCTCCATCCATACTTGCATTGTTTACAGCTCCGTTGCGTGCCCTGTAGAGGTGCCTGGACTGCAGTAATGTCACATTCTGGCTCTCAGCACCTCTACAGGGTGCACAATGGCACTGTACAAGCAATGCACATATGGATGGAGCTCTGTCACAGCACAGCAGCCCACACTGGATCCCAGATTGAGGATCCACTGCAGTTCTCGTAAGGTAAGGAGACAGGGTGGCTCTTGAAAAGAAAAAATATATTTTTTTGATGTGTGTGTGTGTGAGAATGTGTGTGAGATTGTGTTTGTGGTCGTGTGTGTCTTTCAGTGTTTTTGAGGGCCCGTTCACACTAGTACATTGCGTTAATCACACAGTCCCATGCGATTAACACCCTGTACCTTGCAATCGCACCTACCACATGTTCTGGTGTGGGAGGTGCGTTGCGTTGCCGTTCATTAGAATGGCACATCAAATGCACCTCTCACCCACAGTTCAATCGCCCGCATTGGAATGCCTAGTACCGCGATGCCATGTGTTCCATTGCAGTGCAACTTGGGTCGCGATTTAATGACCGAGGACAAATGTGGGTCCTGAGGTTACACAGGTTGAGAACTACTGCCCTAAAGGGTTTTATTGCAGTCTGTGTGCTCATTGAGGACTTTTTTTTAGTCTGGACCAGAACGGACTGCGCTGGTGTGAATAGAGCCCAGAAATACCATAGGGATACATTGGGATGGTTTCTTTGGTCCGGGAACAAACTGTTCTGGTCTGGATATGGGGAAAACAAGCCCTTCTAACCCAGTGGTAGGCAACTTTGGCACTGCAGCTATGGTGAAATTACAAGTCCCATGAAGCATTGCAAGACTCTGACTCCCAGAGGCATGATGGAGTTTGTAGTTTCATGACAGCTGGCATGCCAAGGTTGCCCATGCGTGTTCTAAATCGCTTTCCTGCTTTTCAAAGCAATATAAAAAGTTTTTATTAGGCTCTAAATTTAGAATTAGTATTGCCAGTAGACTGAATGTTTGAAACCTTTAAATATGTTTTATTGATTTTACACACCTTGACATTGCAAAAAGCTGATTATGCTATGAAATCAGGAATTAGATTTTTGTATTACTTATTACAAATCCTAGATCAGAGCAATAATGACTACCTGAAAGTACTGAACTTATTTCCTATAACAGAGTTTAATTCAGAGGCCTCACAAGGGGGGTGCGGCCCGGGTGACAGTCATTTTGGTGTCACCCCCTCTGAAAAGTCGGGCACTTGGTCATGGACCAAGAGCCCGACAATTGTACGAGAGAGCATACCTTATCCTATCAGGTGAACATCCCCTCTTCTCTTTGCTAGCATCCATCACCAAGATGGCTGCCGGCAGGTAAGCATGCGTGACGTCATTGCACACGTACGTGATGACGTCGCACACGGCCGCCGGGTGACACCTTGGCTGGGGATATCCCTGGTTCAATTAACAAAATACATCACTTATGTGGCCTCAGTAAACTGAAGTGTAATTGGGTGCTGTAGGTTGCTGAATTATATTTGTGTTGTATGTTTGATGACAGTAGATGAGCAGTTTTCAAACATATTTTACTGACTTCACATTGGGGTCAAGCACCTCCAGTGAGTAACTACAGTTTTCATCATGCATTACCTATAAATTGGTATACAGCTATGACAGTGACTATGCTCAGTAATGTTATTATTATTGTTATTAGGGGTTTATATAGTGCCAGCAGTTTGCCTAGCACCTAATAAATAAAAATAAAGGGAGACAATACAGAAGGGTTAGGAAGGCCCTGCTCGTGAGTGATATGAACACCATTTGTAACAATGTCTATTAGTGTCATGAATGCTCCATAGTAATCTAAGGGAAGTAGTAGTTATGCCAACCAAGACCTCAACAATAGTTACACCTATTTGCCTTTTGCATGTTACAATTTCAGGCTTTGTTTGTGCTTCAGGCTGCAAGGTTGCTTCCGAAGAAGAGCAGCAGGAGTTAAGCTTGCCATAGACATGATATGAAAGTCACACAATATAGGCATGCTTTAGGCAGATCAGAAAACAGACATGCCTAACAATTAACCGCCCTCAGTGGAGACAATCACACAAGCTAGAAAACCTGGTCGTATATTTTTCAAGCCCCTTTTGTCTGAGATAAGCTTTACTAGCATCAGCCACCTCTTCTCTTTTAAAGCATAAAGATGAACCATTTATGGGACTGCCAGCAGACTGTAGCATGGCACCATGTGCCTGACTAAATTACAACATGTGCCTCTGAACTGCTATTGCCATTGCCTTTTATATATGAAGTGTAAACCAAACAACTGTAGACAAGTTACATGCCTACTGGACTCATTATTCATTGGGCTCTGATGCTCTGTTTCTGATTGTTGGCAACACTCAAAGCGGAGATTTTGGTTTGGTTTAGATTTTGGTTTAGAGAACACATTATATTTCCTGTATTCCAGCTGACAGCTGCTACTGTAGAAATTAAATCCATTTGCCGCTAGTCTTGCAGAATGCAAATTACAGGTTTCATTTAACTAGTTTTATGACCAGTGGTAAGTTTCATGTACTTGGCCTGTCTGAACTTGTCTTGGCATCACGCACAAGACAAGATGCTATTTCTGCTCATTGTAATTTTCCAAGGCTAAACAGTTTGTCTGCAGTAATATTGCTGAGTTTGTGTTGAATAAGAACCTCCAGCCCACTGCATTTTAATGGATTTAAACAAGCTTATTTTTAATGGCCAGCATGTAAATAATGACTGACAAGTCTGATTGCCTCCATTTTAAATTCAATAACTGCCGTATACCCTGTGTAATTGCAATTTTGAAATAGAGCAAGTGCGACAGCAAGAACCAATTAGTACTGACCAGTCCACTAGAACATGTGACTTGTATGTTATGCTTAAAGTAGGACACTAGACAAACCTTTTTTAGTGATTGAGAAAGGAAAAAATAGAGCCTATTCATTTTGAAATTGCCTCAATGCAGGAACAATTGCTCCTATAGTATTTTTTCTGCACATCATGCACTGTGTTATGCTGAATCAGTGCATTGTCTGTGTGTGTTTTGGTGTTTGTAATGCACGTACTTATGTACATGTGCTGCATTAAAGAACCTGGTACTGCATGTTTTACCAGTGCTCTAGGTATAAACAAGCCATTACCTCTGTCAAATTTGTATTTCTGTCTCCATCCCTATTAGGCAGTATATTCCTCCATTATTGTTCCATTTGGCACCAGTCTGTAAAGGGTGGCAATTAAAGAGTGTGATTGGTAAACTTCAAAGTAGAACATATTTGTTTTTGTTAGTGAGGTAAATATATATTAAAAGTGTTTGTCAAGCAAAAAATCTTCTCTTTTTAGTTTTAGATGTGGGGAAGGTTTGGAACCCTGTTGGATTTTTACTGTATCTGAAATTCTGTTACAGAGATATACCGTCACCTCAACCTCTCTAGTAATGTAGGGGAAGGAGAGAACCCTGTCAGACTAGCACTTCCAGAGACAGGGGTTGTGGACACATGCACATTCTTTAGGAAGGAGCTTACTTTGCAATGCAACTTTTTAAAAAGGGGATCACATCTCAACCAATATTTTTTATTTAGTTTGTAAGATGTCATTTAACCATCTTACTACTATTCATGTACTTTAATATTTATAAAAGATTTCATGTCTTAGATAATGTTCATGATACTTGAGATACATTGTATAACTTATTTTTGTCATTGATGTTTTCAAGGACTCAAGCATAGATGGCATGCCTGGCTCTCCTGAATCTCCCCATCCCCCCACCAGCACACTTGATAAGCCAAAACTGAAAGCTGGGGGCTCAGTGGAAAGTCTTCGAAGTTCCTTGAGTGGACAAAGTTCAATGAGTAAGCATGTGTATTTTTCAGATATTGGCCTGTCCTTTTCATTCATCTACCTCTCTGAATGTACTCTATTCATAGGGCTCTGTTTACAAAGTGCACAGAATATCAATTGAGAGACAGAATGCTTCCGCAGATGGTTTTCTACACATGCCTGCTTAATTGTTGTCTGTTGCCATTTAACATTCTTTCCATCTTCATTTTGTAGCTTAACTATATATTTTATGTTAAAAGGCTTGCATAATATCCTCATTACCCTTCCTAGCTTAGAAACAAGATAATTTCCATTGTACAGATTGCAACAATACAGTTGAGAAGAAAAACGTTCACAATAAATAAGTATTGCTTTTAGTTGAATACTTCATTCTGTTGTGAATCTGTTTTATCAGGTGGCCAAACTGTCAGCACAACAGACTCATCTGCCAGCAACAGAGAGAGCGTAAAGTCTGAGGATGGTGATGATGAGGAGCCGCCATACAGAGGACCTTTCTGTGGCCGAGCTAAGGTCCACACAGACTTCACTCCTAGCCCTTATGACTCTGATTCCCTGAAACTCAAGGTTGGCATGGACAGATTTGTGTGATGCTTTTCTGCCATTTACTTAATTTATATTAATATATAGTTTATATGTTTGTGCACTGAATGATGTTCAAATCTCTTCATGGAAATAATACCACCTGTTTTACCTATTTTGAAACCCTTGGACAAAGTAGCAGATTAATTGAAACATTACTCAGTTAAGCAGGATGCTCCAATATTATTTGTGATAGTATTTAATCAGATATCACAGCAATCGCATATTAAATATTATCATGTTGGCAATGACCTTTGCTAAGCATGTTGGGAAGAGCACCTAATTGACTGCTTTCAGCTTATATGTTATTTAAAGCTGGCCATGGCCACTAACTGACCCTCAGAGGTTCTCTATTCTCCACATGCACACAAGTAGCAGTGGATTTACATGGAAAAGCACAATATTTTTGCTTTGGAAAATCCGAAGAGCTCATTGACTTATCCTTCCCTCTCCTGAGAGATCAGCTGGCAGTATATGCTGTAGTAATTCATTTTATTTAGTCAAAGCATGTCTCCGGAGTTCCCCTAATTGGCTAACTCCTAAAACTAATTGTACTGAATTTGCCATGATTTATTCCAGAAAACAATAGATTTTAATCTAAGGAACCTAAGGCAAAATGAGTCTATGCATTCTGCCAATATAGTTGCTATTTTCATTTTTATATTTAAAGTTTATCTAAATCCAAAAATAAAAATAATATATTCCAGCTTACCAGTACTTTGATCATTTTTTTTTCACTTGGTAATCCTGCCATTAACACATTCCCTTCATAGAGTGGCAATGCTCATTCACTGCATTGTATTTATTGAGGAGCCATGGTTAACACCATAGGTTGCTCTCCTGATTTGGACTACAAACATATCCTCCTCTGCTTATCTCCATTACATTGGAGGGAAATAGTTTACAAAATTTGTCCTAAAAGGAAGATAACATTGTTTGTGCTTTCAGTTCTGCTCACCTGAAGTGACCAGCGTGCTACCTTTCTGGCAGGATGAACAGGTGTACTTTGTACAAAAATGTTCGTATCCTGACATTAGAAATCTCATGCAGCCAACACGTCTTAGAACTGGCACGCTGCAATATATATACAGTGCATTTATCCTTGGGTTTAGGTCAACTTTAAAAGGGAAAAAAAGTATTTAAAAAATATTTTAACATATGAACATACATTAAATGATATCTAAACCCAAAAACAAACCTTTAATATATTACAGCTTACCATATGTTAAATATGGTAGCAGCATTAGTTTTAATTTTTTCCCTTTATTTTCACCCGGTGATCTGGCCAGTAACACACTTCCTGTCATAGGCTGGCTACATTCTATGGATGAGCAGTGGAGCATTCTCAACCTATGAAGAGGGTAGTATTAGATGCACTAGCAAATTTAGAGGGACTCTACTAACAAATATAGCCAAACTCTTTACACTTTACACGCAGTTACAGCAACAGTGTTTTGCTTTTTGGGATTAAAGTTTTACATATATGGAAAAAGCAAACTATTCAAAGCTCCTTGTCAGTGTTAAATGGTTTGTCTCAACCCTCTACCTGCCACTTTTGCAGGACAGCTTGATCTGTTAAAGGAAGTTGAAACATAACAGACCTAATAGCTAGGTCACTACCGTAAGTGCAAATAAAGGGAAAAAGCCCCCCAAAAGAAAAACTAATGCAGCCACTACATTTAAGCATTGGTAAGCTGCAATATATTACATTTATCCTTTAAAATGTAGGTATCCTTTAAATATAACAGTTCTCAGGAAAATTGAGAGAGTGGTATTTCTCCGGAATTATACATAGTCAGCAAACTTAAGTCCAGCCTTGCATTGTTCATCTATCAGAAAAAGTTGTGGAATAAATAATATAGAATACATAAGTATATACAGTCATGGCCAGAAATCTTGGTACCCCTGCATTTCTGTCAGATAATGCACCAATTCATGCAGAAAATTGTTGCAATTACAAGTGTTTAAACATTATCATGTTTATTTCTTTTGTTTGTATTGGTATGACAAAAAAAATGGAGAAAAACAAAAAGCCAAATCTGACACATTCCATGCAAAACCCCAAAAAGGGACTGGACAAGATTATTGGCACCTTCTCCAAATTGCAAGAAATAATTGCATTCCAAGTTTTTGTGGAAAAGCATGGACAATCTCAAGGTTACAAGTCCATCTCCAGAGATCTTAATGTTCCTGTGTCTACTGTGCACAACATTGTCAAGTATGAATGAAAAGGGACGCTATGGTAGGAGACCCAGGAGGACCCCACAGCTGACACAGAAACACAAAAAAGCCAGATTGGAGTTTGCCAAAACTTACCTGAGGAAGCCAAAATCCTTTTGGGAGAATGTGCTGTGGACAGACGAAAAAAAATTACAGCTTTTTGGTTAAGCCCATCATTCTACTGTTTTCAGAAAGAGAAATTAGGCCTTTAAAGAAAAAAATACAGTCCCTACAGTCAAACATGGTGGAGGTTCACTGATATTTTGGGGTTGCTTTGCTGCTTCAGGCACTGGATGTCTTGACTGTGTGCATGGCATTATGAAATCTGAAGACTACCAAAGGGGTGCAATGTAGGGCCCAGTGTCAGAAAGTTGAGTCTCCGTCAGATGTCATGGGTCTTACAGCAGGACAATGACCCGAAGTACACGTCAAAAAGCACCCAGAAATGGTTTCAGACAAAGCGCTGGAGAGTGCTGGAATGGCCAGCAATGAGTCCAGATCTGAATCCCATAGAGCACCTGTGGTGAGATCTCAAAACAGCAGTCGGGAAAAGGAACCCTTACAATCTGAGAGACCTGGAGCAAAAGAAGAGTGGTCCAAAATTCCAGTAAAGTGATGTAAGAAACTAATTGATTTAAGTTATTTTTCCCAAGGCCTGTGCTACCAAATATTAATTGAGGGTGCCAATCTTTTTGTCCGCTCCATTTTTGGAGTTTTGCGTGGAATGTGTCAGATTTGGCTTTTTTTTCTCCACTTTTTTGTACCAATACAAACAAAAGAAATAAACATGAGAATGCCTAAACATTTGTAATTGCAACAATTTTCTGTGCGAAGTGATGCATTTTCTGACGGAAATGCAGGGGTGCCAAGATTATTGGCTATGGCTATATATTAGGGATGTTCAGAAACCAAGTATCGTACTCGGTACAAGTACAGATACTTTTCCAGCTCCAGGACCAGACTAGAGAAAAATTCAAAAGTTAAGAGTCAGCTGTCATTTGTAAGGAGCATACGGAGCTCCTGGGATTTGTAAATCCCCATTTTAATGCATTATTTTTTTTAATAACTATATATAAGTGATGCACCGATACCATTTTTACAAGTACATGTACTGATACTTGTCCAAGTACTCACAGATACAAGTACTGATACGTTTTTGTTTATTGTCATGTGACAGTTTTTCTAAAACTATATGGACTAATGATTTCAGGACAGTGGTGGAGAGCCAGAGCCAGGTCCCAGCTGCAACCCCTGCAACCCTGGTAGTTCTCGTGAAAATACCAGGTACCGGCACTGGTATCTGGACAACCCTTATTATATATGTATTTTTATATATGCCAATCTGGGTAAAATTCCAGTTTTATGAATGTTATGTACGATAGAAGTGGTTATTAGTATGATAAAACTGGTAACTGTGTGCTGGTAGGAATAAAAATTATTCTATGCACGTGTGTCAAGCATCTTGTAATGGCAGAGACATGCAGAAACAATCACAATGCCCTCAACTCACCTACTGTGTAAAAAAAGAGATTGAGCAAGGTTTTCCAATTTGACCAAACATTTCCATTCCCTTCTGAGAAGCCTTGGCTAATGATGTCAACTGGATCCTCATAGGCTTAAATTTTCTTAGTTTTCAACCATATTAGGATAATGTTACCTAATTTCACATTAGATTTCAGATGAGAAAGAAATAATTGAAAAGGTATTTCATCAGCTCTTTGTTGAGACATATGTGAGAACATTTGGACTGAAAGGTAAAAAGGCTAGCTGTCTGGGAAAGGAGGTTTGCTGTTTTTCCTGACCCACAATATCTATGCTTTATGGCTTACACAGATATGTTATAGTAGTGTTCAAAACTGTTGCTGATTTCTATGTAATGATATCCACCTATCTTTTGGAATAAAGCTGATTAAAACTCTGTATTTAATATGTTCTGAGGAATAGAGGCTCCAACATATTGAAACAGATTTGTTTTGAACAACATTAGCTCCTTTGAGGCATTTAATAGCGTATGCTTAATTATTGCGCAGTACGTCAAGGTAAGCTTATTCACTAACACGCACTTTGCAGTAGATGCAATGTTGGGTAACACTTAGCACTCTGATAACAATCCCTAATAGTTGTTTTTGAAAGCACTTTGGCAATTCTGAACACTTTTCTCAATTCCTTTACTGCAGAAAGGGGACATCATTGAAATTATAAGCAAGCCTCCAATGGGCACATGGATGGGTCTTTTAAACAATAAGGTTGGCACTTTCAAGTTCATATATGTGGATGTGATCAATGAAGTTGAAGAGAAGCCCAAGCGACCAACCAGGAGAAGACGTAAGGGACGGCCACCAAAGCCAAAGTCTGTTGAAGAGCTTTTGGATCGCATCAATCTTAAGGTTGGAAATTTATTTGAGGCTCTTTTTAGTCCAGAGACCAAACTCGATCTCCTTTACAGAATAAAAAAAATAATAATTCTCTAGAAAATCTTTATACCTAACTATATATTAAAGGAAAACTATGGGGTGAGTGAATTACACTCATCCCCATAGTTAGAGCAAACGTGTGACATTGAAACTGTCACAGGTCGGCTCTATTGATCGGGAAGTGAGTGAAAACATACCGCCATTCGCTCACTTTCCCGATCATCTCTCTGTAGAGAGCGGTGACTCATTTAACGCTCCCCACAAGGATTCCCCCTCTCTGATTCTACAGCAATGACTGGAGGGGCGGACAGGGGAGGGGACAGGCATAGCTGGCTCTGCCTCTAGATAGGCAGAGTGCGCTGTCAATCAGCCAGCGGGGTGGCTCTCGACAGTATTGTCGGGATCCGTCCTGGCTGTGATGCTTTCAGCACACAGCGGGCAAAAGCTGGCTAAATACTGAGTTTTGGATCATGGAAGGACATTAGTATATGTGCCAATGTGACCCTACAGAGAACTATGGGAAAAAAAGGTTACCCCATAGTTCTCTTTTAAGATCCATATAGTAAAAGCATTTTATAACACTCCCCAATATAAAGTGAATTCAGACATAGTAAGATCACCAAGTGCCCTATTTAGTGCCATATTACAGTGGTGATTCTGCCACTAGCCACAAAACCACAGGTGCAACCAAAACCTTATCTAATGGGCATCAAGGGAGTGATGCTATAGTAAATGGTACATGGTCTATTAGCAATCCAGTCACTGGCAAGTTGTCGCTAATTTAAAATGGCAAGGGAGTCTATCACAGATATGTATTTTAAAACTGAGGAAATACCGGTTTTATCCAATGTTTACAGTTGTAATCATAATTATTTCTATACCGCACATGCTTTCTGTTAAGTGCCTAGAAGTATTTACAAAAAGTAATGTAATTGTATGATACGTAATTACGTTTTCTTTCCCATGGATTGGGTGACACAGGATTCCGAGACAATTGAGTTATACTGACACCTACAGCAGGATTTGGACACTGGCAAACAGAAACAAAGACTGACCAGCTGGTTGCTAAGGGCAAAAGCTCCAGCTTATGTCTGCTCTAGTTCTAATAAATCCCCCCCCCCCATAGTGCTTCCATACCCCTGTTCAGCACCAGTAGATTAGAAGGAGATTTCCCTTCATTGGCTGAATGTATCGTGTCATTGGCGTGTCTACCTCATAGCAACAGCTTCCATTAGAAAGTCTCTCTCTGTATCATTCCTGATGGTCCCTGCAAAGAGAAACCAGTTTCCTAGTCCACAATTTCATGTTGACAGATCATCATTCAAACTTTTATTGTTAAAGACTGGATGCTACCCTTGTCAAGGCACACTCTACAAGATGTGTGGCTGATTCTTGGGTTTTTTAGCATCAGGCAACTGTTTCCCAGATTTGCAAGTCTACAACCTGATCTTCTGTTAACATGTTCTCTAAGTTTTACCAGGTGGATGTTCAGGCTTTATCTGATGCCAACTTTGGGCATAAGGTCCTTCAGGCAGCTCTCTAAGCTGCAGGCATTCCCATTTTTTTTATAGTGGGCCTGTTAGCATTTTGTTTGCTGTGTTGCCCACACTTCAATTTGACTGCTTTGGGGCATTTAAGCCATCTCTTGATCTTATGTCCCTCAATGAATAAAATAATTTTTGTACTCACCATAAAATCCTTTTCTTGGCGTTCATTGAATGACACAGGCCTCATTTGTTACAAAACTGAGGCATGTTAGGAGTGGGAAGTGCTCTACCTGGCTGGTCACTTTTTTGTTTGCCAGATCCTGTCAAATTCCTCCTGTGGGTGGCAGAATAATCAAATTGTTTCTGAATGTTGTGTTCCTCATTTGCCTGCCAAAGGATTTTTATTGCTGCTGATACTTACCCCCGATGCCGGAACTTCTGGGTACAGGGAGATTTTCCTATGACCGGCAGTGCCCCAAGGGAACATGAAGGCAGCTTCCCAGGCAATCAATGCCCGGGAAGCCCGCAAGTAACGCCGCCTGGCTTCCTGATTGCCCTGGAAGCCGGCTGCATGCTAGCAGAAGTACCGGTATCGGTACTTGGTATCAGCAAGTACCAAAAGATAAATATCGGTACTCGATACAGAAAAAACAGTATCGGTGCATCCCTAGTGGTAACCCATAGTAACCACTCCCATTCCAGTTACTGCAATCTGACCAGTTAAGGAACAATGTCTGTGGGTTACAGAACTTTGCACACAGTTCGTGAGCCTGTTAGTGTATTAAGACCATTTCCCTGCCCCCTGAACCCCCTCTCCCTCATCACCCTAGTTTGTTGATGTTTTCACTTTTTATGAAATTTCTAAGGCTCCATTATGTAAACAAATGTGGCCTATGTCCTTAGGAAATCTCTAGTACCCTAAAACTTTCTAAAATAATGCTGTGCTTTCCCTAGTAATATGGCTTCCCTTTAGATACCACTAAATGTTCCACCTTCAGAGAACACCCACTGACTAGCCAAACTGTTTCTGTCTAGCATAGAGTTGGAGGAGTCCTAAAATATATGCAAGCTTTCTCAGCATTGAAATGATTAAGGAATAAAAGTGATTTTTCTTTTACTCCCCACATATAAACTGAACTCCCAACTTAATAGAGGTTATAGGTATAAACCAAGATTTATACAATAACTGTTTCACCTCAGCAATAAAAACCACCAAGTATGAAATCAGTTGCTTATATTACAGAGTGTATTTAATGGAATAGCTGAGCAGCTTGTATTACAGTATGATTATTTATTATGATTTGGTGCATATGGGCTGTACAGATTTCATGAGCATATTGGTTTGTTGTAGAACACTGCAGACAATTACTCATGATGCTGACAAATAAGGAGCACTGAAAGACGCACTCGGAATTCTTTCTAAAGGAGTTATATTCCCATTTAAACAGTTAGCCCACTAAAATCTTAATAACTTCAGCTTTCGAACCTCCTCATGGACCGGAGCAATTTTTTCACTTCCTCTGTTGACCTGCTCATTTGTTGATAACGTTATCATTTATTTAAGATAACAAAAAAATACATTGATTGTTTAGGAGGATTTTTTTTGGAGGGGGGGACTGTTTTCCTTCTGCAAGTTTTTTAGACTTATTTAGACATATGTCTTATACTGCATATACAATTCTTAAGTTGGTTAAACACTGACTGGGAAAGATATTCAGGCTCTTGATACATTTTCATATTTGTTCTGTTTAATAGACCCTGCACTACATTCTTACACTGTTCTCTGTGATATTTTTTGTCAAGGCTCTAAAACTAAAGCAACTCTGTCACTAAAATAGATTCTGGACATAGAGTCCTCCCTGTAGAGGAGATAAGAAACACTCACGTCGCCTGCTTCTAATGCTGCCAATCTTGTTGATATTGCTGTGGTTCCTCATGCCAGCCTCTTGGTCACTACAGTAGTGGCATAGGGGTCCTCACATTCAGCCAATGAGGGCAGCAGGGGACCAGTAAATCGGCATCCCCAGAAATGTCTGTTTCAGTAGCATCTTTAGCTGACATTTTCTCTTTATCCCATGAGAAATAGGAAGCATGAGAGGTGAGTATTAATTATCTTCTTTGCCAGGGAGGAATAATATATTTCCAGCATCTGTTTTACAGTCAGAGTCACTTAAAAGAGTATGTATACCCCTAATCATGTGCCCCAGATTGCACCACCTACATCAAATTTGTAAATGGAAATACATGCCACAGATTAGTTAAAAGTATAGTATGTGTTACCTTGGGCTGATGTCTCTCCTCCAAGGAGTTAGTGAAACCCTGAACATGCCTAGTCATAAAATAATAATAACTGTCTTCCTCTTTTCCTTGCCCCATGCATAATGCAGAGAGTGGGCAAGGCGGTTGAGTCATCCTCTTACTCCGTGTGTATACATTTCAGTTTGAGCTACTAAGCTCTGCAAATGTCAGGCTTCTTTCAATAAAATAACAAGGTATAAACAAGTAAACACATGAAAAGGAGCATAGTGTTTTCCCTGCTGACTAGGAAAAAAATAAATTTGGAATATTAATATGCAATATTTCATACTTAGCTGAAAAAAAATGCCCTAAATATGATTAAATAAAAGAGGACATATATGCATAGGGATTATATTGTATTTATTAAAAATGTGAGACATGATCTTAAAAATTCTTATATTACTCTTTATTTTTAATTCTAAAAACTAACTTACTTTGAATTTCTAGGAGCACATGCCAACCTTCCTCTTCAATGGATATGAAGATTTAGATACTTTCAAACTTCTGGAGGAAGAAGATTTGGATGAACTGAACATCCAGAATCCAGAACACAAAGCAGTCCTACTTACAGCTATTGAGCTGTTACAGGAGTATGACAGTAAGGATTTCTAATTTACAATGTCAATAGAATAATATCTACAACTGGAAATTGCTAAGCCTTAGGAGTGTGTGTGTGTGTTACACTGTGATTTAATGACTAAGTAGTCCATAAGCTACCATAAAATAGCATTTTACTTTCTACATAAACATTGTTGATGATCAACAAGTACAAAAAGTCTACATTTTTGCTAACTGTTAAGATCCAAAGGGTTACAGATCTCCCCTCTCTAAGTGTGTCACTACGGTATAGCATCCCCCTCTGCCTGTCTACCCCCAATTTTTTTTGCCTGGCACATAGTTATGTATTGTTACTTCAGATGGCTACCAACCCATTCTCTTATGTGATTGCAGAGGATCCAGCTTAGATAGTGAGCAGGATGGACCTACAGTAGGGTACAAGTGCTACTCTGGGTTTGATAGTCCCTAAACTGTCCTAAATGATAACACATCATCCAGCTTTGATCCCACTGCACCTGACCCATTGTGTGATGTGTTCTGGAAAGCCTCTACTGCCCAGCTTTATAGCACTGTATTCAGTCATTTTTATATAGTGGAACCTCTAATGACTAGTCTTTTAAAGACACTAGATATATGCACTATATATCTGATTTCAGTTTTTGAAAATCAACTCACTACTATAAATTCATATAAACTATTCCTATTCTTTAACGCATTTGAGCAAGACACTACCTTCTGAATAAGGGGTTTGAGTTTCCTCACAGAAGAACTACAAGTGGGAGCATTTTCTAGAAGACACATGTTAGAAGCTAAGTATGATACATTTTACTAAACATTGTAGACCAATAGTTTTGTCTGAAATGTTTAAATGTTTGCCAGCCAGAGCCAAAAATGGATGAATCATACACCTTTGTGACAAGCCATTCTGCCTTTCAAAGACTATACCCAATAAAAAAAGAAACAGCTGTACGCATTTTTTTTTAGTTAAACCACTGGTATATTTTGTAGGAAAGGTGGAAACCCTAACCCTAACAAACAATGGAAAATAAATTTTTTACATTCTCTAATACACTTGAAATTTAATACTCATATAGACAGTTAACATGAACTTGACTGATTAATGGGTGCTTGCAAATGATGTTCTTTCAGTTTGGTAATAGCACACTCCTAATAATAGATGTATGATAGTTCTTTATGGGTCTTTGCTCTTCATGATAACGGAAATATTAACAATATCCTTGTTTATTTTTGAATATCACAGGCAACAGTGATCACTCTGGGTCTCAAGAGAAACTGCTAACAGAAGCAGACAATGCAGGCTCTCCCCGGGATTCTGGCTGCTATGAAAGCAATGAGAATTTTGAACATGGTAATGACAGGAAGTAAACACCTGATGACATGTAATGTACATGCCTTTAAACTGGCTAGCATGCTTAACACTTCATGCACAATGTGTGCAGAAGAGACCTTTACTAACAATAAATTATAATGTGCAGATGTATGTGGCTTACCAGGAAAGCTTCTTGGTTTATTCAGCTGGCCTGTATACCGTTTTGCATCTTGGAATTTAATGCTTCTGTTAACACGGACCACCGTGCCTGACTTTCTCATTACTTCTGTAATTCATGTAAATGCTTAACATCCTTTGCCTGCCTGCGCCATTTTCATTTTTATAATCATCCCACACCCTATATTTATCAAGAGGACAGACTCCATTAACATGTGCAAAACTGTCTTGAAGACCCTTAGAACAAAACTTGACTACTGTTGTAGTGTCATAGAAGTATAATTGGTACTTTGCTGTAATGTTTGGTCAGTTGTCATGCACTGTTCAGGGTTTTTCCTTTTTCCAGTGCATTTCCTGCACTGTAACCATTTTAAATAAACATTTATTTTATTAAAACTTAGAACCATTTGCCTGAAGAATTTAAGTAAAAGTATAGCTCTGGTTGAATATCTGTTGAAAAGAGAAACTCTTCACCAACAGAATTATTATCACATTTCTAGATGGTGATTAAGAAAAAAAAAATGTGTACATCTAAAAAGGAAATGTCTATGTCTAACCATTCAGAGCAGTCTGATGCTCATCAGGAGAATTGACCTAGAGTGGCATTGGTAGAATGCAATTTTTTTTTGCTGTTAGTATATCTACAACTGTCCAATACACACAGTGGTTTGCAGTTTTATAGGATTGTGTGGAAGGGTAAGATATAGGGAGATCTAATAGAAATATAGGAATACTTGTTAAGTCTATGAAGAAGAGCAGTTGCTCACAGCAACCAGATATCAGTTCATGTTAATGTCAGTTTATTTTTTGCTTGCTTTTAATTACTGCACTTTGAATAACATTACTATTTGCAGTGCCTTTGTGACTAAGGTGTACGTTTAATAAACTGTGAAAGAGTGTGATAAGCAGTGAGAAGGCTTTTCTCACCTTAGCAAAGTGAAAAGTCTAGAAAATGCTGTTTAATAACCCAAGATAAGTCAGGTAGGAACAGAAATATCTCACCTCTTCTCATCCTGGTGATAAGTACACAGAAAGTAATGGGAATGTACCTGTTTAATAAAGGGAGAAAAGTAGAGAACAGCTTTATCACGAGATAAGTATTGTGCAAAGTACCCTTGATTTAGCACCCTGTCAGACCTGGTGCTAAAGGCCTTTTTCTCGAGAAGCACTGAGCAAAGATACAGGAACCTCCTCCTCTGTCACTAAGTTATTCTCTGTTTCCAGTCCTGAGGAGAAGTTTGAGTCGTATGTTCTATTCAGAGCCTAGTGCTATTCTATCCAGCTGTTACCGCTATCTAACTTTTTAAAGAAATAAATACATATACTATAATATATATAT